TCGAATATTTGAACCGTCCCAAATAAGCCCAAAATTCGAATGTAACCTATTAAATGGAGAGATTGGAGAGTAGAGTGGATTAAGGGATGGGATAATAGTGACCTATACAATAGGCATTTAAATAATCCCTATTTAGATATCTTTATCTATGGCCATGAACACTTTGTCTTTTTGATTCATTTAATTCTTTTATTTTTGTAACACTTGCCCCGAGTGTTATCCAAAAATCACACAAGTCAAATAAACTAAGTGTGGTTAAGGAGTTAATCTTAAAACCAACTTAGGAAACAAATCATTTAAATCACTAAGCAAATACACAATTGAAAAGTAAACGTTTAAAGCCTTTAAAAAAAATTTATAGGTTCTACCTATAGCGCGCGGAACTGAGCTAGACGAAAGTAAAATAAAAAAAAATATGCTGTCATGACAGCATTTGACAGCATTAAATTGCTGTTATGACAGCCCTCCCGGGTCAACTTCCGGGAGGCACCGTTTCGCCTTCCGATCTCCGATCGAAGTGATTTTAAAGCTCACAAGTCACATTCAAAGGGTACTATAAGTGTACTAAATTTCAAAAAGATCCAACGATCGGATTGAAAATTAGACATGTTACAAATTTAGTCAATTTTGCTGTCATGACAGCATGAAAAGTTGTCATGACAGCACTTCCGGACCAACTTCCGGAGTGCACTATTTCATCATCCGACCTCTGATTGGAGTGATTTTAAAGCTCACATGTCACTTTTTAAGAATACTATTAGCATACCAAATTTTGAAAAGATCCAACGGACAGATTGAATTTTATGCAGGTTACAATATAACTACTGTAGCTGTCATGACAGCAATGACAGCACCTCCAGACCAAATTCCGAAGTACATCGTTTCTCGTCCGATATCCGATCGACGTGATTCTAAAGCTCACACGAAGCTTGTAAAAGGTTTTACTTGTGACCCAAATTTTAGAAAAATCTAATGGTCGGATTAAGATTTGGATACCCGGATGCAAAAGTGCAGCTTTTTGGTAAAAATCATTTTCAAAATTGTCCAAATCTCATCCTAATGGTCACAAACCTGTGGAAACACTTTGGACACGTCAAATAAGACTAAAAACACCGGAAAGAACATTTAAATGATGGAAAACTTCCATACATCAAAATTTGACCACCCGGGTGCCATTTCTCAAAATGGACCCTAAACCCCCAAAATGCACAAATCATACAAGAGTGGTCACAAATCAATCCAAATACCATGTATTTATATAAATACATATGCTAAACATTTTCACTTGGCTCAGAGCTCTTTGTGGGGCCCACGCACCCACTCTCTCTATCCAAGCTGTATGTTTGCCTATAGCACACTATTTGCAATGCAACCACTTTGCATTTGCTTATAAAATCACATATATCAAAATAAATATTTTCTTATAATAGAAACTTGGTCTACTAAGTAAATCCATCAAAACCACACACCATAACCAAGTTTCCTAGCCACAAGTCTGCAAACAGACAAAAATTCATACACAAGCACACAATCCACACATATTCACACACACACACATAATCATATCCTACTGGCACCCTAATCTTAAATACATTACAATATATTTGCTCAAAAGAAAGGGGTTGCAGTTCTTTACAAATCACAAGCAAACCCCTAGCTTTGCTCTTTTTCCCCGTCCACCACTGGATCCTTCGCCTGGACCTAGAAATATTGAAAAGAAAGGGGTGAGACAACCACAGTCTCAGTAACAGAGAAATCTACATTGATTATTACAAAGTAAGCCATAATCAAATAAATGAATAATAAATTTAACATAGTATATAATTTAGTCATTTAAAATGTATGAATGCATGACCTAGGCCGCTATGGCCTTTTATGACCAATAGAATGCCCCCTGGCACTCTTTAACTCGCAGAAAAACCTTATACCTACTTGTACCTCCACAGGCACAAAACATAATCTAAGGCATGATCTAATCCACCGAACCGCCTATGCCCCTTCGACGTAAATTCTGAGCAGTCAAAGCTAACTCCCTCCCAGAGCCAACCCGACTTACTCTCCATGTGAGGGCTACCTTGGCCTAGGCACTAAACCTCACACTTCATATGTCGGATTCCTTCCCCCACTGAGAGGTGTCGAACACTCAATACACTAACTACTTTAGTGCACTGAGCCCACAATACGTAAGACAACACTGAGTACTGACAGTGTACCATAAAATATCAAAAATCCACACCTTCTTATTGGTGAACTCCCACCAAGATCATGCCTTTTACTCTTGTCTATCTTTCCTGAGTATTTACCATTCAACACTCTAAAGTAGTATAACATTTACAAATCTCGTTTCCATAAAAACATTGTTATTAAACAATTAAAAAAAAACATATTTGCACTATAATCAAAGTAGTACCCCATAACCCCTTATAAAGCACATTTAATCTTTTAAAACATATAATGCATGATAGCTAGTAATATTTATTTAAAAATAGCTAAAACAGAGTAATAGAAAATATAAATTTCCCCTGTTACCTCAACCCTTTGGTACCAAAAGGGTTCCTTTTGTATAAAATAGAACTTGGCTTGTTCTTTAACTTCCGAACAAATTCCACCAACAATCCCTACAACATATAAGTGATCCACATCACTTATCTTGTCAAATAGCATTAATGAAGACTATAACTCATACCACACAACTTGGGTCTATGAGCCATAATCCATCCCAATAGTCCATATATTAAACCAACCATTCACATAATATCACTTAACCACCAAAACCATTTATTAGCCATCATTAGGCTAATTTCCAATTTATATAATTTTTTATCAATTAAAAACCTTCACTTAGTGTCACCAACTTTCACCATTAGCCCTTATAATGAAAACCAAACCTTAATTTAAATCTTATTGGGCTCAAATAGCAAAATTATAACTAAATCAATAAGCTTAAACCATTGAAGAGCAAAAACCCAATTTCTCAGGGTTTAATTTATGCCCAAAACACCTCTTTTCATCCAATTATCCACTCAAAACATTATATCACTATATAGAAATTCAAAACATACTCCCTAGGATCCAAAGAAACAAAAGCTTACAAGAATAAAGTCTTTGGGATCAAAATCCAAAAATTTTCTCTTCCAAAAATTGAAGAAAATCAAGAGAAAGAGAAGATGATTGAAGTAGGGAGTTTACCTATCGTGTAGCCGAGCTCGCAACGGTCGTAAAGACTCCTAGATCCAAGCCTAACTCCCTCTCTTTCTCCTTTCTTCTTCCTCTCTCTCTCTCTCTCTGCGTTTTGTTCTTTCCTTTTTTTTTTTCTGCGTTTCTGCATCTCTTTTTCCTTATAAAAGCTGATCCAAAAGTTTGGGGAAAATTACAAGAAATGACCCAATATTTTTTATTATTGCACAAAAGCCCGGGTCACTTTGGTAATTTTTCCCATAGTTAAAAATAAAAAAAAACTAAACTTTTGCTTAGTAAAATTTAAACTCTGGATCTCTATCAAGTTATTTTAAATTTTAATTTAATTATAAATATTTTATTTTATTTTTTATAAATTTAAGTTTTAAAATTTCGGAATGTTACAATTTTACAATTCAAAAGGAAAAGAAATAAAAAATAAAATAATAGAAGTTATTAACTTGAAATCCATAATTAGTTAATTAAAATACGAATATGTTTGTGGGAAGTTTCGGTAAAGGACCCCTATAAAGGTTTAATTTCAAATCAAGGCATGTCCCGCGCGGATTAACGACCCTTAAAATTAAATAAGCCAGCAACTAACTTTTGAATTGTTGACCAACATGCTGAAGTACATTTAACTTAACTCCCGTCCTTTGTTTAAATTTACGTTCATAAATGTCCCCCCCCCCCCCATCATGCATGTATTATTAATGTACGTCGACCTTTGTTTTATTTTTGGAAAAATACATTTTTAGTATCTATTCTTTTAATGTGTTTTGATATTAATTCCTGTACTTTTGTATTTATTGTGTCAAGTCCCTTATGTAAATATATAATGTTAGTCATTATTATCATTGGTGGAGTTAAATTTACTGATGTATATATAATTATGTTTGATTTTGTTGGTAAGTTGATAAAATTATGATGAGTTGGACTTTATATGAACCAAATAACTATTAATCTTTTTGCCTTCCTGCTCTAGCTGTATGTTTTCTTCCTTATAAAACTTCATTTGCTGCATGTTTAGAATTTTGATTTAATTTTTTTTGTCTTTTGCTTATTTTTAATATAACTCATCAATTTAACAAGTCAATACAAAAATTAACAACGTTTATATACATATTAGTCACTATTAAGCCTTTATGGTCATATTTAAAATATAAAGGACTAATAATATTGTAGACAAATGAAGTTTCATGAACTTTGAAATAACAAAATAAAAGTAAAGGAATTAATACCAAAAGATGCTAAAAGTATAAATTTTATTTTCCCTATTAGAACATACAAGAGAAGTCCTACATCTAAAGAATAGAGGATACATTATAAATATATAAGCTTAAAAAGTATCTAATCAATAATGGTTTAAGCTATTTTAGTGGATTATATATCTTCGAGCATACTTAATATAATAAATCTAAAATGGTACCAGGGCTATTCGATTGAGGACAAAAAAATAGAGAGAAAAAAAAGAAAAAGAATGGAAGGTGGAAAGAAAAGAAAGAAAGAAGAAGGAAAAGAAGAAGAAATTGAATAGACTGAAAACCTCTGAGATTAAAATAAAGTACAAGCTCAAGCAAAAAACAAAAGCAAAAAGATAAATGAAAAAAATGAGAAAAAATTAATAGAGAGAATATTAAAACATATTAGAAAATATATAATAAATATATAAGTTTGAAAAATATCTAATTAAATGGTTTAAACTATTTTGACGGAATATATTATTTTTAAGCATACTTAATATAATAAATTTAACTTTATCTTTATTTCTTTATTTTTTTATTTAGGAGCATGTGATGTAATTATAGGTAAATTAGTGTGGGAACAAAAAAGTTGATATATAATAATGAGAATGAAGTGGAGAAAACATCATATGGGGACAATGTTGACTATTAGACACAAATCATAACCTGCTTGGAGAAGGAGTACACCCAGTAATACTACTACCACTTGCCTACCTTCGCAAAGCCTCACTAATTGCTTGCAATTTCATCTAAAATAACAAATCTGATCTGTTAATCATCATCATCATCATCATCATCATCACGATTCACTGATGTGTGTGTGTGGCTGCAGATTCTCCCAATAACAGCAATAACTAATTTCTCAGAAAGATTCATCACTTTCCCTTCTTTTTCTCCTCATAATCCAGAAGCTCCTCTAACAGATTATCGTCCAAGTACTCGAACTCGAAAACTTCATGGCCGCTCCTTGAAGGAGGAGGAGGAGGAGGAGCCGGCGAGTGAGAAGAAGAAGCCTCCGCCGCCGCCGCCGCCGCCGACGTTGTTGCAGTGTTAGAACGACCAGCTGTGAGAGGGTACTCATTTGGGAAGTTGAGGATTGCAAATGAGCCTCTCATGGCATAAGCAGCTCTGTCATACGCCCTGGCTGCTTCCGCCGCCGTGTCGAAAGTCCCTAACCACAGCCTCTGTCCTTGATTAGTAGAGTCCCGGATCTCCGCCGCGAACTTCCCCCATGGCCGCCTCCTCACTCCCCGGTACCGGACACCACCGCCACTTCCACTGCTTCCCTCGGCGTCGACCTTACCTGTGCCGGGTTTATCCATGACTGTAATAAAGACTTGTGATTTGTTTTTGCTTTTGCTTTGCATGCATGGTTTTGAGTTGGTAAGTAGTGTATATATTTATATGGTTGAAGCAATTAAATTAAAATACGAAATTGTCCATACAGAATCCACCACGTGTGTGGCGTTGGGACGTAGTTTGCACGTGGCCAGGAGAAAGTTCTATATACCACCTTGAAAAATTGCAAGTCCATTGAATCTAGATGGTCAATGTGATGGCTTTGCAAGTTTTTGAAACTCTTTTGGCTTATATATATATATATATATATGTATGTATGTATTTGTTTTTAGTTCTTTTTATTAAAGTGTTACTTTCATTTACTATCTTTTCGATTCTTGAATTCAAATGTCACTTTGATAAATCACGCAAACGAAATTTAATTAATTAATTAATTAATCAGCAAATTAAGTCTTATCCTCTCACAGTAAAAGTCGAAACGTCAATCACGTGAAGATAAATTCTCTTACATGGGAAACATCGATCTCATTTCGGTGAAGTCATGTTGATTATTTTACCACCCTTATCTAATCAATTATTTCAATCTATTCACAGTAATACACTACTCGTGTTTAACACCAGATAAAATTAACTTCACATTTATTGTGAAATATTAGTTTTATTTTTGAAATCATAAATAAATTTGTAAATTTTTAATTTTATCCTTGTTTATAATTAACCACTGTAATAAATTATTATTTAGATATTTAAATAATGACTCTAGATAAACAAGAGTTGAAAATTATAAAAAAAAAAAGCTAAAGTGTACTTTTGGACCTTTAATTTTATATAAGATTTTAGTTTAGTCTTATAATTTTATAAAACATATTTTTAATTCTTTAATCTTAGTACTGTTAATTTCAAATGATTTTTGTTATATCAATCATTGTTATTTTTAAAAAATAAAATTAATATGTCAATATTTGAAAATGTTTTATTAATATTTAAAAGTTAAATATAAAATTTTGTTTTGTGAATGAAACTAACAATGTTAGCATCAAATGATTGAAAAAAAACTTTATAAAATTAAATGACTAAGTTAAAACCTTATGTAAAGTTAAATTAAAGGACTAAACGTGTATTTTAGCAGCAAAAATATTAATTATTTTAACCTTGTCTTATATTTAAGACAAAAAAACTTTCAACTCCGTCATGTATTATAGACCCGAAGGAGTGTAATACATAAAGTTTTCATACGTTTTAATTTTTGGAGCACACAAGTACAAGCACTATAGCCATATATATTCTAGAGATCAGAATTTGATTCCGAATATTATAATAATAAAAAGATACATATTAACCCAATGAGGAAGAAACGAAAGGAGGGTATAATTGTCCCAGAATAGAATGAATATGAAAGCCAAAAATAATAATTAGAATTTAAGGAAACAAATTGAAAAGATCGAATGTATGTGTGCTCGAAGATGGGTAAATACCTTGTATCTTTGCAAGTGGACGTGATTCTCCATAATTATATATGATTTTCTTTTTTGGCCAACCATAATTATATATGATTACGGAATCAGAATATAACGATAACCTGACATTATTTGATGTTTCGAGAGACAAATAAATAATATAATTAGTGACTAACGAGAGTCAAATATACAGGGCTAAACCTAAAGGTGATTAATTATTTATATATATTGTTGTTAATGTGTATGGCATCTAGCTATTTATTAAACTGATTTAGTTATTGGTATAATTATATATTAAGGATCGAGGCTATAAAATAACGTTTATTTAGGCCTACCGAAAATTGCAAGCCATGTTCCCACCCAAAAAAAAAAAAAAAATGGAAGCCGTGGAGGATTTTGTTCGATAATGAATAAGAGCTTATCCGCTAGAGAGCACTAGAAAATGACACTCCCTCTAGTTAGATTTGGATCAAATCTCCAATTTAAATACATGAAAATTTACGAATTTGGATTAAATTTATTTTGTTATAATTTCAAATTTTCTTTGTAATTTAGTTATTTTAAATTTTAGACACTACAATCCTCTTATTCTCGTGGTGTTTCTACTATTATTGGTGTCTTTGTCACTCTCTCACCTCTTCTATAATCTATCATTCCCATCTTTCACTAATTTAAAAATACATGTTAACATATCATTCCTAATCTTTTGTTTTTATTTTAAATCTTAGCAAGTCTCTGTTCTTTCTTAGAAATATTTTATGCTATCTAAGAATGGATTTTAAATATATAAATTTTAAATATAAATCTATCAATCCAAGCACCACTTAAAAGTCATGAAGAATGTGTGTGTTCCTCCCCATTCTTAATACGAAGCAAACTTAACCAATTTCATGTTCATTAAAACATGATAGTTACTATGACCTTGAAATTATTGAGATAATATGCAACTTGCCAATTTTGCCCTTCTATGCAATTAATAACCATAATGAATTGTTATATAGGAATTCAAATGATAAAAAATTAAATTAACAAGGAGTACAATTGAAAAAAAAAAACACTAATAACTCTACTTTTGCTTTATATTAATTGAGGACCAATTTTTTTTTTAAATTTTCATTATATAAAGAACCAGAGAGAGAGAAAGCGTGTGTAGGGTAGAAAAGTAAATTAGTTCATAAACTATAAGTCTATGAGCATTTAGAATTTTAAAGTCATTTGTTATGCAATATTTTCTTTCAACATTTAAAAATGGTGCAATATCATTTCTACCATTAATAAAAGTTAATTTTAACTGTTATTTAACTGAAATACAAAAATATATCAAAAATTATAGAAAATGACTAAAAAATTTGAGATATGAACCCAAAAATAATAAAAAAAATGACTAAGAAAATTTTATTGGTGATTTTCTATTATTTCTAATCAACTAATGGTTAAAGTTAATTTTTATTAATGATAAGAGTCAAATCACACTATTTTCAAATTAAAAACTGATAAGAAACATTGGATTAAAAAAATTATGGTCACAGATAGTATTGAACTTATAGTTCAATGGTTAATTTATTATTTTATCTTATATATGTGTGTGTGTGTGTGTGTGTGTGTGTGAAAACAAATAGGGGGAGGAATAGGGAATAGGGCGCTCCAGGGTATATTTGGTTCCGATCGAGGCTTGGACTTTGAGCACTATTTTACATAAAAATTTGAGTCTTTTACATGGAAAATAAACCAGATATGTTTCAGTTTAATAGAATAATATTGTTTACATATATACACACGTGACTGACAGAAATTAGTATAATTAATAATAAAGATTGATTTTATTTTATCATAATTAAGAGCATAACTATGAACGTTGCTGATGATATAAAGACGTTGTTATGTGGTTAAACTATATCAAATGGTTTTCTAGTTAAAGTTCTTTTTGGTCAAAGATTTGCATGTGAATGAGCATATATACAAAGCAATCCATTGTTTGGCCTACAGTTTACTTAATATGCAGCCCATGGAACCATATCGATTATCTCATGGCTAGCTGAATTAATTAAGCAAGAAGAGATTAGTAGGCATTTTATTATTTTGTAAATTAAGCACTTATTTTTTAATTAAAAAAATCATTGTCGTTGTTCTTTCCCTGTCTACTTCGAGAGGTTGAAGATTTATGGCTCATCCCCAAAGATTTGAGACTTTCAAGTTCGAATCTTGATACAAGGCTTTTGTTTTTTTTGGTGTGGGGAAAATGACAATTAAGGACCCTCTAAGGTTATTAATTGCAATTGAAAACCATAAAATATTCAAATTTCAATTAAAAACCATGGTCCTTACTTGAAATTTAAAAAAAAAGTGAATTTTCTCAAATGCCTCTCAAGAAAAAATTACTAAGTGAAATTAATAAATTTTTAAATTACTTTTATATATTCATAAGTAATATTAAAATATTTTAAAAGTGAGTTTCTTTCATATTGAAAAATAATATATTTTCAAGTGTGATTTCTTGTTTTTCAACTAACATTAATAATATTCCCATGTCACAATAGTAATTTTAGCAGTGTCATTTTTTTATTTTTTAAGTGGTAACCATATATAAAAAAGCATGAAATGTGATAAGTTATTGGATTCATATTCTTGAATGAAGTTAGTAAATTTTCAAATCATTTTTGTATATCCATAAATGACCTTGGAACATTTCAAAAATAAGTTTCTTTCATATTAAGAAAACATTTATTCCCAAATATGGTTCTTTATTTTTTCAATTAATGTTAATAATATTCTCGTACCACGATAATGATTTCAAAAGTGTTATGTGCATTTTAATATTTAGTAGAGGAAAATTTTGTAAATTTATTTATGTTTTTTTATTTCAATAAAGGACCATAGTTTTGAATTGAGATTTTAATATTTTATGATCCTTAATTAAAATTAATGACCTTAAATGGTCCTTAATTATTGTTTTCTCTGGTTTTTTTTTTGGGGGGGGGGGCTAGAAGGGAAAAAATATTTCAGAAGAATTTAGAAGGTTTGTTTGCCGTCATAAATGTTTCTCAAAAGTCTTTTAATACGTTGATCACAATATAATTTATATATGTATTATCCTTTTTGTTAGTTTTTAGGAGCTCTCCTGTTTTTATTATAAGTCACTTTATAATTAATTCAAACAATTATAATAATTAATTATATTATTGAAATTGTCTAAAAATTATTTTGATTCTTATTTTTATCTATAATAAATAATATGAATTTAAAAAATAAATATTTTTTATCTCCCTTGAAATTGAGGACATATTTGAAATAAAGTAAGTAATGTTATAGAAACTCTTGCCAAGTGATATCAAGAAGCAAAACCATGCATGGGTGAAGTGTAGATTAAAGCCGGAGCCAAAGGATGAAAGATCAAGAATTTAAATTGAATTTACGCGATCTGGATCTTACTACAACGATGACCCACTCTTGATCACTCACATACATACATATATATATATATATATATATTTTCTTCATTTAAAAATATAAAATATTTTTTGATAAGTTAAATATTTAAAAATGTAAGACATTTTTAGTTTTTCAAAGTGTAATCATTATTTTTTTTAAAAGT